CTGCCGGGTGTAGGCGCGGGGGGAGCCAGCGCTCGCCGTGGAGCACCCCGAAATAAATCGCGCTCCTTTCCCGGTGAAGCGGAGCTGTGCCTGCGCACCCCTGCCGACCTGCCCCCGGCCCCCGGCCGCTCTGCTTCCTGCTGGCCTGCCTCTGACTTTTGGCCAAGACGTGGCCACAAAGATGGGTGTCCGTGCAGGCGACGGGCGGAGGAGCGAAGGCGAGCTCACCCGAAGCGCTACGCGTTGGCGCCGCAGGCGCGGCCCCCCTGCCGGCCCCCCCCTGCCCCCCACCTTCAGCTCCTCCTCGGCACACAGAATTACGCTGCCTTGGATAAACCCGCAATGCTGTTATGTCGCTGACACCAGGGGGAAACCTTGGGTGGGGAAAAGTGGCTAGGGAAGACACCGGCTTGTATGGAGGTGCTAGGCAGAAGCAGTTTTCCCATGCAAATCGGGGCTTTTTAGAACCACTCCTTCTCTGGTTTATCAGCGTCTGAAATGTACTGATATTATGGAATTCTTACAGTGTGATTCATGGCAGTTCACGGCATGATGATCGAGATAAAAGTTGTTACCCCTTTCTTCAGTATAGCATAGCTTGTTAAATCTTCACCGTCCAGATGCTTACGATTCAGCTACAGTTTGTTTTGCCCATTTTTCCCCCTTGTCTTGACAGCGTCAGGTCTGGAGTTCCTGATTTAATTTGGAGCAAATATCTAAGTTGTATTTATGACATCATATGTTTGATTCAGGCACCATTCACATTTCTTGACCTCTAATTATTCTTCAGGATGGAGATAACTTATACATTCAACATCCATAATAAACAGAATCACTTCGATCGGAAGGGACCCCTTGAGATCACCTGGTCCAACCCCGCAAGGTTGCCCAGGACCATGTCCAGTCAGCTTCTTAATATCTCCACAGATGGAGGCTACACAACCTCTCTGGAGAACCCGATCCAGTGTTTGACCACCCTTACAGTAAAAAAAGCATTTTTTTGTGTCTGAATGAGATTTCATGGTTTTTAATTGTGAGTGGATGCTACCGAGAGGAGTCCGGCTCCCTCCTCTTCGTTCCTTCCCATCAGGTATTTACACACATTCGGCCTTCTCCAGTCTGAACAGTCCCAGCTTTCTCATCCTCTCCTGATATGAGAGATGCTCCAGTCCCACATGCTAGACTCACTCCAGTAAGTCCCTATCTCTTTTATACTGGGGAGCCCAGCAGAGGACACAACGGTCCAGGTGTGGCCTCACCAGTGTCGAGCAAAGAGGGAGGATCACACCTCCCTCCACCTTCCAGCAACGCTCTGCCCAATGCAGCCCGGGATGCTGTTGGCTTTGGCCGCAAGGCAACCGAAGTGAGCTCCTTTTGGTAAGAAAATGGTGCAATGTGACGGCTTAACGAAGCTAACTGTGGTTAAAAAAGAAAAAATGTGTGGCTGTACCTAGGGTGAGTACCTCTTACTGTTTTACTTCTTTATTTGATAAGACTGCCCAGGACACTCAAAATGGCGGCCCTGTGACTCTCTGTGCAAATTTTGCCTAGGTAGCAGAGCTGGACTATTACGGGAGTAGCACCAGAGTCTCTGTGTGCCTATGTGCTTGAATTGCTGCATAAGAAGCTCAGAAGCAGAAAAAAGCTCCATGGGTGGCAGTCTTGGAGTGGTGTGGGAGTAATAGGGACTTGAGTTACTGGCAATAATGAAGATAAGTCAAGTCATGCTGGAAGCCCAATGAAAGCTTTTTTCAGTTTTATCTTGCATCTCTGCAGCCTTTGGGGTCATGCCAGTGGGGAAGAATGTGCATCTGGAACACAGCTCCGGCTGCTCTGGCAGTGCCTGAGCCGGGCTGGAGTCCCGCTTTCCCTTTCTTGGTTGTGAACGCCCTGCACGGGTGGTAAAAGGCATGGAATGTATCATCAGAAGAATCTGCAGCGTTGCCTCTAGTGTGCGGGTAGCGTTTCTGGAAGCTATCGTGTGCAAAATCAACTTCCGTAATAAAGCTGCATTTTAGTTTCCTCGTTATTTTGGTTGCACAAAAAGATTGGTCTCTCAGAAGACCGTCTGAAAGCCCCCTGGGAACTATTGGCGTCCTGACTGCACACCTACAAATGTAAACACTCAGCTGGAGTTGGGATACTTAAAAAACACAATCTGGTTATTGGGTATTGGTAAATGAATTGCTTTCTTGCTCGCCCAAAGAAGATATTTTATTTTCTCTGTGGCAGAAAGCAGGATGCTGTGGTTCCGTACCACAGATTAGAGATTATGCCCTTTCAAGTAAGAAGTAGCAGGAGAGAAATTCCTCGTTAAAGTCATGATGGTGATGTTTGAATGGGCTTAATAATAAAGAAGGTAGAAAATGCTTTAACTCTGCAGTTAAAAGTAGTCCTTGGTTTTAGGCAGATCTGTACAACAAAAGCCACAGGGTTCATACAAAAAGCCACGATGGCAATTGAGGAACTGGGGGGAAATTGTCTGGGAAAACATTTGAAATAGTTGTAGGATGACTGCAGCACAGACTGGAATGCGACGGAGCTGGGCACAGTTCTCTGTTCCACCATGGGCCATCCCTGAGGACCGCAGGCACATCGCTTCTGGCCAGAGAGAATAGCCCTTCGGTTGCCTTCACTGCAGCACCTAACGCAGAGGTGCCAGCCACCCCGAAGGAATCCCAGACCTAGAGCGAGGTCCCCACTCTCCCTGCACGGGACAGAGGGGCAGGTAGGCAGCTGGTGACCCAAAATGCCCATGTGCTAGTGAGTGAGCGAGGCGCTGCTAGGAAGCAGAGGTGAGAGGTGCAGGTCTTAACACCCTGCCCCTGCTCAGGGCACGTGCACCCGCCTGCAGCTGGGGAACCAGAGCCTTGCTCCATTTGGGATCCGCGGCTCCGAGTTGTCTCAAAGGAAAGTGCCAACATCTGTTTCTAGCGAGGACTAACTAGGACTTGTTCTTTTCTTCAGCTGCCAAAAGACATGTTGAGGCCAAGAGCTACGTTTTGTAAAATGGCCTGTTGTTTAAAACACACGTCACTCTGGAGGCTTGGGTCAGGTGTCTTCCTCAGGCTGAAGATTCAGGCTCCCGCCCACCACAGAGTGCCCCAACCACAGCGTCAGCCTGCAGTGGTGGAGGAGGCAGGGATCTCTCATCCAAGCTGCGCAGCTATGGAGCAGACAGCTGAGGGAGAGCAAGTGCAAGGGCAGACCTGGTGTTTGGGGTGCTGGGAGAGACATCCTAGGCCCTGTTTCCCACCCTGAGGTTTTGTTCTGTATTTATCCTTTGACTATTTCATAGAAAATACCTAAGAACCACCTCCATCAGAGACTGAAATGCAGCATTCCTTCTGCAAACTGATTGCCTAAACCGTGAGGACACAGCTTTGTGTATTGCTTGGGTGCTTATTCTTTTTATTTCACAGAGACAGATGGAGTGAGGCTGGGAAGATGCCCCCTGGCAGAGCCTGTTAAGGTTTCCTGCTGGTTAGGGTGTAGTGCTGGGAGGTGGGGATCCCCTGCGGGGTGTGTGTATGTGAAGCATTGAACTTGTGTTACTCTCCTTATGTGAAGGTATTTTAGGCAATTAGGCTCTTACAGAGCAAATGGGTGGCAAACCCACCCAGAGGCTTTGCAAAGTGCATACACGGTTGGGGGTGGTTTGCAGCCCCTGGTGGTGCCGGGTGTTTGTGAGGGCAATGCTCCCAGGGGACCAGGTGTCAAGCTGTGTCAATGGCCTGTTCCAGGCCTGCCCTGGAGCAGAAACATAGGCGTGCAGAGCAGGCTGAGGTGCAAGAAGGGAAAAGCCTAGTGAGCAATACCTCCAGATTTGGGCAGCAGCTGAACAGAGACCGTTTGGATTGCAGCTGTAAATACAGGCTTTACATTGCTACTGTCTGGTGAGATCTAGCCCTTCTTCCCCATGTGCTGCCTTCATCTGCACTATGGGAACCAGACCAGATGTTTCCCACAGCAGGAGTGAGACATTATGTTTTTCCAGATAGCATGAGGTTTGGGGTCACTGAGGTATGGTGATAGCTAGAGGTCCTTCTCAATACTTTGCTCGAAGGCTTGCTAGGTTGCTAGGATGGGAATTGCTGACAAATAGCAAAAAGGCATAAACAAACTTGCTGAGGAGAGGTAAGACAGGGATGGGACGTAGCGCAGTTTCTCCCAACATATTTTTGTGCATGTATGTCCTGGAAGTCAAAGCAGAGAACAAAACTGAGAAACTATTTCCTGACTGTTGTGTAGTGTCCAAAGACAGGGCAGGAATCCATTTTAATATTTTATTGGTGAGATGTATAGTCTGTAGTGGCTGTAAGTCCTCAGAATATAGAAAAGATTCATTTTCTTCTTGAATTTTCAGTGGGTTCAGATTGCTGAGATTTAGAACTACCTAAAATAGCCTTATAGAGCATCCTTCCCTGCGCAAGAGCTAATCATCCAACTTTATCCCGCGCAATGGCTGACTTTTCTCCTGACTGTAGCACTGAACGCATTTGCTCAGTGTGTGCTGGGGAATGTTCTGATTACCTGTTTGCCTCAGGATATGCCCTATACTTTGTTAGATAATCTAAGTTTATTATGCTAAGACTTTGCCAGCAGCTTAGAGCTAATGCAATGGGTTTTAAGGGTTTACACAGTAGCAACTCTCCCAGTAGCCAGAGTCACCTCGGCAGTTTGATTAATTCAACAGGATTAAGTTTTCTTAGTACTTGGCTACTACGGGAGTGGGGGGAATCTGTCCTACCCCAGCATTTGTAGTGCAAGTAGTATACAAATAAGTTTCTTGTTATGGTCTGAAAATCATACCTGCGTTCTGGTTCCTTAACAAAGTCATTTTAGTTTGAGCTGTTCCTTTTCGCAGCCCTTACAGTCACCCTCTCATTATTCTTTGCCCTTTCCATTATTTCCGTGATAAAGCCAGTCAGTCTGATTTGGCTGGATGGATCCTCTGTGGATGTACCAATACTTCTTTGAAACCAAGTTCATGCAAGGTTGCAGACCAGTTTCCTTTCATTGTCTTCCAAGACTCCTGGCTCTGCTCCTCTGCTCCAAAACCAGATGCTGGCAGCACTGAAGACATGCAACAGGCCCAAGATAGATTTGAGAGGCTTTTGGAAATGTGATGGACATTCTGGCAGGCAAGACAGCCCCATGTTGCCTGAGCACTGATGTGCTTTTTGCCCCTGTACTGTCAGACAGACATGCAGGGGCAGGTACCGAGATCTCAGCAGCCAAAGATGTCAACACCATGAAAGGAAAATGGTTAGTTTCTTGGGAAAGCATTATTTCAATTTTTGTGCCTGAAAAATTGAGTATGGCAGACGGATGAAAAGAGTTCGTCCCCAAACAGGGGATGTGAGCTTTTAGTGGATTCCGCATCTTCTCTTCTTGGCAGGGGAAGGGGCAGTCACTGAGCTGCAAACAGCTGCTTCCAGAGATGAATTTCATCAAGGCTGACGTCAGGACTTGGCTGAAGAATGGCACGTTAGCTGCAAAACCATGAGCCTAACACAAAATGCTGTTTTCAAATTTCAGCATGCTAACTGCCAGAGACTGTTAGGCCACACGATTGCAAGATACGTCTTGTGCTGTGTATGAGGAAGGTGAACGTGTTGCAGCATCCCAGTGCTCCTCCTTGGGTGGGGTGGGAACGGGGAGGCCGTACCTACAGCCTAGAGGGAAAGACCCGGCTCTAGCCAGTTTGTCAAAGGCCGTGCCACCGAAGCTGAAGTACCTGTGCCTAAAATTTTAGACACACCTACTGCCAACATTTTGAACTCTGTTCAGCTACTCAGGAGCACAGGAGAGGCCCTTCTGGTGCTGTCAACACCTCAACTTCACCAAAGGATGTGGTGCTGTGGTGCCAATGGAGCAGCGCTAGCGAGGCTGGAGCCCACACGCTGCCCACAGCTTGTGGTGCGAGCAGGGCCGAGCCACCTCTTTTCCTTCTGTCTCACAAAACTATGAATACTTAACACCCTGCTGGGCTTTTACATGAAGCCCAGTCACAGCATGCAATACCACTGCAGCTCAGAAAAAAGATTTTGTAAAAATTTCTGGCATTCCCAAGCACAGACTTGCAGAGCACTGTCACCAGGGTCGTTCCAAATAATTTGGCTCCATTCTGAGTGGTAGCAGACCCGGGCCCAAGGTGATGGCCCATGCACCTATGCTCTTTTTCCAGCCCTATTTCAAAATAACATGGGTCTTTTCTCCAGACAATAGTCATTTAATACCCTGACGGATATTCCCCTCACCCCCTGGTATGGGTACAAGCCACAGAGAACCTCAGTTTGTTTGACAGTGCAAATGTCCTTTTCCAGGTGCAGCAAACCAAGGACAAGGCAGCTACTGTGGAAGAGGAAAGAGGGCTCTTGAAGCAAGGGCAATGGGTGCTCTGGGGCAAACTTCAATATAGATTATCTGCTTGTGCCCGTAGTCATCCTCTCTCCTGTTTCAGTTTTCAAACAGATAACCTGTTATGTACGTTAAAACACAGAGATGGAATCGGCACTCCGTACCTTTGAAGAGGACAGTCCCATTTGTAGCAGCCTTGTCGCAATGTAGCTGAAAGTGGGCCTATCTTGCAAGTGGATTAAGTACTGATGTAGCTGCAAGTCCTGTGTTGCTGGCAAATGCGTATTGACCCCTCCAGACTGCTCGGCATCGTGAGTTACAACAACACAGGAAACTCAGCTTCAGCTCAACTCCAGCACTCATTAACAAGGCAATTATAGGTAAGTTACAGGAACTGTCTCTGCTTCAACCTTTGAAGACAAACTGTGGCGAGCGCAGTCTGGCCTTCTCTAGGTATGAAGCTACACGCCGCTCACTTGCATACCCTCTGCGAACGCGTCATCCAGCCTACAGGAGAACACAGATCTCGGCGCCTCCTGGGGCAAGTGCGGCAGCAGAGATTAGCATCCCCTCTCCCAAACACAGTGTGCAGATACCGTCAGGTTGGGGTACATCACATCATCACACACGCTGCTCTCCTTTTTTACTGTGTCCTACTTGAGGTCAGGAATAAGCCAGAAAGCGGTGCTGAACCCCAGCCCACAATGTACAGTGTCTTCCCCAGGCCTTAGCTCTGCCCCGGGGAACAGAGGGCAATGCTTCCTGTGAATCTGCGCATGAATTCTCTGCTCCTTCAGTCGTTACTTCAAAATAAAAACTGCCTTCGGGACTGGGGACAGCAGTGTGTGGTTATGCCTAAAAAAACACTCACTCAAAACACGTCATGAAGCAGTAATGCAGTTTTTTGCTCCTAACTCCACGTTTCCTAAAAAAGCTGTGGGAGGGCAGGAAACGCACCTGTAATATGAGACGGCTGGGAAGAGATTAGCTGCTTCCCTTTGCTGATTTTCAGGCGCATGTGCGTGCGTGCGTGTGTACTTTATGACTCATTAAATGTCCCGGGGGAGTTGTTCTGAAGGCTGGTTTCTTTCGAATGTCCACTACAAAGATGGATCTTGAGGGCTCTGGAAGAATTTAGAATGTCAGGAGATGCGGTATCAAGAACAGCGAGACACTCAATGCTGAGCATGGAACAGTGGAGGAATTTTTCACAGACAGTTCAGGATATGGTGGTTGGTTGGTTGCACAGGTCTAGTAACTAATTCTGTGCTGGTTTTTGAGGAATAACAAGAATATTTTTCCTAGAGATGTGGGTGTATCAGGGATGGTTAAAAATTACATAAGACTTTAATTTAAAGTAGCAAGAAAGTTGTGCAAATTCCAACATCATTCAACAAGAATGAAAAGGTTAAGGGGGAAAGGAAGTTTACCTTTAAAGAACTGTAATTTCAATTTAAGAAACATTCACTTTGGATTCCCTTCATCGTGTTTGTGGTTTCAGCTAAATAGGATTAAACAATTTTACTATACAAATGAATAAAGTCTTGATTTGTTATCACAAGAAATTTTTAATATGGTTTGTGACAAGCAATATCAAAGTTATCAACTCTCAAGCTTCATGTTCTGAAACCAGACAACTCTCAGCAACAAAAAAAGTTGTGCACTGATAAACATAGGAGGCATGTTGTATTTTTTAATTAAATATGAAAACATGAGCTGTGTACATTATTTTTTCCCTAGAAAACACAGCAATTTCAAAAGTTTATCATAAAATATTTTCATGAAATGAGTGAACCAGCAAACACATGCACTTGTGTGCCTTCCCCCCTCCCAAGATAAACGTGATAAAAGAGACATACGCAAATGTAAAAGTTAACAGAACAAGTGGCGTTTTGTTGTTGTTTGGTTCTTTTTGGAAAGGATGGAATGTAACATTGTGCTCGACTTCCTATGTCACAACAAAAAATATTTGGTGTAATATTTTAACATTTTCTTCTTAAGTTTCAATCTGGTGGAGAAAAATACCTTTTTCTATAATAAAATATGTCTGTTCTTTTTAAAACTTAACTTTTTTGCACAAAATAATTTTGTAAACTGTCATTTCAAGGGCAAGGTAGGTGGTGCCATGTCAATGTCCTCCCCCCCACTTAAAAACGTGATCTGTTATCTGAAGCAAAACAGGGAAACACAAAAAAAAGAGCGGAGCAGAGGCTGCTTTGCAAAGAGAAAGAAGGGCGTGTCGGACGGGGGAGAGGGGAGGGAGCGTGTGGTGGGACAGAAAAAAGTTAAAGGTCACTTTCGCCGTAGAGTGCCGTGGAGAAGGACATGTAGTCCAGGGCACCGGGTACAGCATCACGGCCATTGTAGGGTGCCATTCTAGCAATGCAATATTCAGCCTGATCAGGAGGCAGTTCCCGCCGTAATTCATCCACAGTGATGTAGTTCTGCAACGAGGACAAACGATAAGGCAATGGTTACTTTCAGAAAACTGACCTTCCTCGGAGGGACAACCGCCCCCTCCCCTCCCAGGACAGCAGACAACAGGCAGGGACAGGACCCCAACAACTGGACTAGTACTGTACACCCGCACAGGGAGCGCTCTGCGCATACGCCTTGGGAGGAAGCGCAGTCACTCCCTACCGTTTGGACAAGAAAATGGTTTTTGCAACGGAGAGAAAGATTGTTTTTGCAGGAGAGATGCTGGCACGCCTAAAGACAAGACCCAGGGGTCAGTAAGGTGAGTTGTTAGTGTAGGACTGTGCCTTCCTATTGACAGCAGAGGTCCTGCGGAAAGCAAATGGGAGGAAGCAGAAATTTCGTCTGGACCCCATCCCCCACTGGCAGGAGGTAACAGCTGCTTGCACTGCCTGGGAGTTGCTGTTCCCTCTCTCCAGAGCAAGCAAAGGAGCCATCCCCACTAGCCCATAGTTGGTGGCACTGACACAGACAAGCAAACACTCTGTATTGCTTCCACAGTTCCCCCAACAATCCTTGCCTTTCACAGCAGACGTTTTTAATAAGCAAGCAAAACTTCTTATGTAAATTCAGCTTCTGGAGACTCACTGAGCTCAGCTGAGGTAGCTTGGCTTCTTTCCATGCAGTAAGCAGCAATAGCTGCCTGTTTGCTAACCAGTTTGTTGTCCTTAGCTGACTGACTCATGGGTATTTGCAGTCATCTGAATAATGGTTCAGGTTTCACACCCTCTCTCTCTCTCCTGTGACTTTTTGTTTGAAATACCGCCTGATTCATGTTATAGTCACTAGAGCATATTAAACACTGACAAATATATTGAATGTACTGTACAGAGTAAAAGAGTTAGTAAGTAACACTGTATCCAAAAGTACCTATTCATTCAGTAATTAGCTTATCTGAATAATGTGGAATTTTCAGGCAATTAGGACTGGCTTCAGTCAGACAGATGCCTGAAAGATGGCTATCACGGGTTTCTGCATTACAGATTATGAAAAGATTATTAGTGGAACATGGAAACCAGTACCGGATTTAAGCGTAACTCATTACAATCTGAGAAATGGTACCCCAGGTTTCGAGTGAGATGAATAAAATCAGTAGCAAATATGGAGGTATATTAATACTGCACGTACATATTATTTGTTCAATTACATAAAAGATTAGTGGGGATTGTTATATAAGAAAAATAAGAGCACAATCTTTATTATCGGCTGGTTCCACTGATGATGCAAATTTAGAAAAGTAATACTTTTTGCACCATCCTGTAAGTTTTCCCATTTTTGACCCATTTATGTGATTAAAAGATGCTCCTCTTGCAGATACAGCATATCCTCAATGAAATCTAGTGATTGTGTAACAACTGACACACGTATGTCTGAGAAAGATCATCTCAAGTTTACAGCTGCCAGTAATTAATAGTTTTTCAAGACTAATCAAGAACCATCTGTTGAATGTGTTCATACATTTTAAAATAACAAACTGCCACCAAGCTCTTTAATTAAATTTTTAAAGCAAGAGTGGGCAGCAAAGTCGTGATTGACAGCTGGACAGGACTTCCAAGTGCCTTGGCAGGCTGCTCATTAACACACACTTTAGCCTTGCGCTCCTCCAGCACTGTGCAATGCTCCTGAGAAAATACCCTCCACGCTAGAGAGTGCTTCCCTCGGCACTTTCTCTTGGAGACGAGAGAGAAAAAGGAAAGCAGGAGCAATGCAGATGCAAGAAAGGAAGGTGTGGAGCCTGACCTTATCTCCAGCCAGGATCTTGAAGGAAGCCATAACCTGGTCAGCAGTATCTGTATCTGCTGTTTCCCGGGACATGAAGTCGATGAAGGCCTGGAACGTCACTACACCCAAGCGGTTAGGGTCGACGATGCTCATGATGCGGGCAAACTCTGCCTCTCCCTGGAGAACAAGAGAATCATGTAAGCCTGGACATTTGGGCAGCAGTGCTATGAAAGTGGGGAGAAACTGTTCAGCAGCGTATCTCACAGCTAGAAAAACAAAGCCAAACAGAAACCACTTCTGTTTTGTTCTGGTTTTTAACAGGATATTATTTTTTAGCTTGCTGTTATGTACAAATGCTTCCCGCTCATTTGTCCTTTGGAATAAAATATTCTCAGCTGTGACCTAGGATAACACCCAGCTTCATCTAGCTCTAGGACAATGCTCCTATCAGGGAACAATACCACACAGGCTTCAGGGGAAGACACAAATTTCTCTGGAACACGTGTCATGCTAGATGTCTGTAGCAATATTTGAAGATCTGCATTCCTCAAATCCTTTTACTTTCATTTACAGAACTTCTACAGTTCTCTTCAGCTGCCAGAACAGAAACTACTGGAAAAAATATCTCTGGGGTCTTTAATACCATCTGGTTCATCTTAACTAGACAGGCTTTGGAAAGAAGCACTTGCATATCTGGAGTGGCCCAGGGAAGTAGCCTTTACAGGGAAGATCCTACAGAGAAGTTTGCTACAGAAGCCAAAACCTTGTAGAGTAGTTTTCAGCATTTTTTTTTTTTTTGCGTATAAACAAAAGATCATCTGTTCTCATCTCTGGGACTCCTTCCTCCCCAGGTAAGGAGGAGGGGGAGAGCAGAGACAAGTATTCCCCTGGGAACAGGCTCTTTAACTCATCTAGAACAGTATACCTTCAAGAGTAACTAAGGTATCTTAATGTGGGTACTTTGGTGAGGGAAAAGCTATGGGGAGGATGACTGGAACTTGAACTTACTTACACGTACAGGAAGAGAGATGTGAAATAAATGGTAGGAATGAGAGGAGCAGCGTTTGAGTGTATTCAGAAATCAGGTGGTGTATATTTCCAGACGAGTTCAACTGATACTTAGGGCTGGGGAGGCTGTGTGTGCTGTGCAGAGTGCAGGCACCAATACAAGGAAGTTTATTGTTTCTTCCACTTGTAGCTACACAGTTTGATAAACATAATTCTTATTTGAAATACACAGGAATTAGACAATGATTTCCATTATTTTGCCTTCAGCTACCACTGTGAGGGAAGAAATTTACACGTACAACCAATACTAGATTTAATATCCACTGCTATTAATTCTGGAAAATAAGGCTGTATTTACCTCGATTCATTCACTACACATTCTCCCTTTATTTTTGAAGGTGCCTACAAGAATCACTTTGAACAGGAGTGACAGAGGGCTCTACATTACCATATTGTAACCCATGGAGATAAGGCAGGCTCGGAAATCTTCACAATCCATCATACCAGTCTTCTTCTACAGGGAATGATGCAAAGATGGAAAAAGCCAAGAGAGAAAAGGGAGACCAGTCCAGGGAGAAATGAACCCACAAGAGACATTACAAAGAATGAGTTTCACGGGGGAGAAGATGGAAGGAAGGATTTACAGGACAATGAAAAACAACAGAGGAAAGGTAGTTTGTGAAACCATGAAGGAGCAAAGGTGGTTTTGGACATGGAATAGTTTACACACAAGGAACATATTGATGATGGAAAAAAAGGAATAAAAATATCAAACAAGACAGATTGAGGGATGGACAAGAAAAGGAGTGTTAAATGACACAGAAGGAAATGGAATAAAGACATAAAAGGAATTCTCTCAAGACAAACAATTAGGGAATTAAGAAGGCATAGATACCAAAGTACATTTAGAGAGGAAGCAGTACAGAAAAGCGACGCATATATAGTCAAACACAAGAACAGCAATGACAGATGGATTAAGACAAACAAGAAAAGAAAGGAAAAAACTGTTATTTTTTCACAGTTTAACATCTGGCTGTGTTCACCACTAGCATTCAGTACCTGTGCATCGTTTCCAATATCGTAACCCAAGCTGATGAGACACGCTTTGAATTCCTCAGGGCCAAGTGTGCCGGAGTGGTCCTGGTTATGCGGTGTGCCAGGCAGCAGGACATGCAGTGCCAGTGGGGTGATGGTGTGGGGCAGAAGGAAGGGAGACACAGAGGAGATCAAAGGGAGGTGGAAGGACAACAAATGGGTGCACCATGCAGTGGGTGAGGAGAGAGGGAGAGGAAGAATGACATGCAGATAGAAAGACAGGGAAGAAAAATAAAAAGTGCACAACATTAGATATCACAATGACATTTCAGGATGTGCTAAAAATGCTCTTGGAACAGTTCCTTCTCAGAGAGCTCGTCACATCTTGAGAGCATTTGAATGTCAAACAGTTGATGCTCAGAAGCCTCAAGATCTCCATCTCCCAGGTGAATTACTTGCGTCACTGCTTGTTATCCATAGTGCCGGAAGCCCTGTGTTTCACTAGTAACCCGGAGTGCAGGTAAGCAGGCAGAGGCAGTGGGAAGCATTGCCTTAATCTTCTAGTCAAAAGTCCCACTAAAGGAGTAGGTGAGGGCAGGTATGTTTGGCAACACACCCAAGGAAGCTTAGCTGTCAGGGCATCCCAGGAACAGACAAGGAAAACCAGCTGAAGCTCAGGGGAGCAGTGTTATGGCTGTATTTATGAGGCCTGCACGTGAGATGGAACTCTGACTGGCAAAGCTATTTCAAGTGCTTAGCTCTGCAAACAGCACTGCTGCACAGTGCAGCACAACACGGCTTGGCAGCTGCTCTTCCCTTTGCTCATTTCCCGCTCCCCCAGTGTTTGGATGTACCCATTAAATTATACACAACCTACCACAGGAACTGAGAATCACCATCCACCCAGCAGAATTTTAGCTCAGGACAGCCCCCAAGCACTGAAGAGCCCCTGCCTGCCGCCACCATCTCTGGCCAGATCAAGGAAGCTACAGCCAGGACAGTGGAGCCAATTGCAAGTGACTGTCCTCAGAAAATCAGCTCTTAAAGTCAGCATTAAGCCTTCATAAATCAAATACACAGCTGAAGATGGGAAAACCCCCGTTCTCTCTGCATTATCATTCAGACTGTTGTAGAGGAAGAGGCAAGCGATATGAAGGCCAAAATAGAAAATCTACAGGGCTTTACAGGTCCCTCTGCTAAGAAAAGAAGCCATGTTTTTTGTTTTTCTTAGGCAGCTAGAGAAGGGCTGAAATAGCCAGCGTTCAGCAAACTGACAGTGTTGCCAATCTCTGAGGGCAGGCTGCAGCCCTGTTTTCTGGAGACCCTTCAAACAGTCTGGCTGTTGCAGCAAGTGGTGGAGAGCAACCTATATTTGCACCACTGGCTTAGTATCTCTGCAGGCTGCTTATGGATTTCCAGAGAATGTTGAAGAGGTTGACAATGGAGCTGGTTTCAGGCTTGGGCTGCTGTCTCTGCTTCCCTGCATGACACCTTTGTGATGAGGGTTGTAGAAGGAAGAGCTGCAGACAGGCTGGCAAACTGAGGGGAGGAGAATTTCCTTTAAGGAATTCCTTTCTTACTGTGCCTGTTAGTGCCTTGGCATGTATTTCCACAGTAAGGCAAGGCAGGCTTTACATCACGGTTTATCTACGTCATGCAATGCTGTGGTGTGTACAGATCCTCCTGTTTGCTTCATACAAAAGCAATACTGGTTTCTTCAATACAGGTTTATGTGGTGGTATGTCAGAGTGGAGGACAGCTGCTGCAAACAATTTTATAAATCAAGATAATAATCTGCTCTCTGAAGAAGATGGGATAAAATTCTAATTTCCTAAACAAGCCTTCAAACTTTAGCTTATCAGGAAACTTACCAGTTTCCTGTGAAGATACACTTCTCCTCCCAGCCTAATGATCACTTAGCAGTCTTCACAGGAACAACTGCTCCACAGGAGTGGCGTTTTTAAGAATGAAATATCTTCTATTGATCTAGCTCTATCACAGTGACTCTCTGTTTTTCATTGCACTGCACAGTCTACATGGAAGCTTGTAGCTTACCAAGCTGCAGTCAGCACTGACTTACCCTGTCAAAATGGTTGAAAGAAGCCCGGAACTCGTTCATCTGTTCCTGGCTGATTCCTTTGGCATCACGGGTCAGAATCTGGTTTTCCACTTCGTTGATGGTTCTAGCAATTGTTGTTAGTAACTGCTCCCAGCCCACTCGGATATGCTGGAAAAAGAGGACAGGACAATTTCACAATTAAACAGTAGCTCTCCTGCCTCTGAGGCCAGTGGATCGAATGTGCCACTTGTTGCAAACTAAATGATCTTGGTGGCCAAGGCAGGAGAAGTCCATTTGCTCAGAAAAGCTTCCTTCCAATCTGCAGTGTGAGCCAACCAGATGTTTACAATATGAATTTTGACTGAAAAAACCACCGAAGAGGCCAATTCCTGATCTTAAGAAAGTCTTGGTTCTATTGCAAAGTTCCTTTGTCTTGTCAGAGCAACATATAGGGGGCCTTTAACACAAATAAGAATCAAACCCAGTGCTTCTAGGACTTAGTTGGGCAGAAAACTTTCCTTACCAAGAAAATAAACAAACCACAGTCCTTGGAAGACACTGGTCCTCCACTGCCTCTGCTGTTGCTTAATGGAGAGCTGGCCAGAAACCAAAAGACAAGTTTCAAAGCCCGTCTGTGTTCTGCTGGACTCATGTTGAACTCAGATTGCTTCCAAGAAACCTCACGTTGTCAACAGAAAGCCAGACTCTGATTTTAAAAAGCTTTTGTTGGACTTTTTTCTTCTGCTAGGCTGTGGCAGCTCAAAATCACCAGCATCCCCCTGGTCTTTCTATTCCCAGCTAACAGGCTGCCACAATCGGGTGGCAGGAGAAATGAGATCAGCCAATTTTTCAAGCAATACTGTTGATCTCATTCAGGTTATTTCTATTGTCTGTATTTGGAAGTACATTGGAATGGGTTGGTATGAAGTACAGCAAGGCAAAAAAAAAAAAAATTCAGCAACATGTTTTTGCATGCTTGGCCATGTTGTCAAGCTCTCCCATTTTCCTGAGAATCACAACACGTTGCCAGAGCTAGACGGGGCTGATGCTAACTGGCCACAGCAGATGAGGCTGTCTGATCTGCTGCCAAAGCTTTTACCTCCATAGTGTAGTTGGTGTGCTTGTTGTCAAAGATAAGCGCTTCCTGGATCTGTTGGTGGTCTCCTTCCAACTGGTCAATCTTTGGTTTGTAATTCACAATGCTTTTCTCATACTGCCGCAAGTGGTTGAGCTGGTCCTCCAGGGTCCCGTGCATCTCTATTGAAATGCGGCCAATCTCCTGCATTAGCAAAGCCAAAGGAGTTAGACTCCATTGGAAGGACAAGCCTCAACATGCTTGACATTTATTGCAGCTATTTCACACTCACACAGGATGATGATTCAAAAAAAGTATCTCATGGAGCAGTTACTTTAAATGAGCCGAGACAGTGTCAGCAAAAATTCTAAGCAGAGCCCTGAATATTTTCCAAGTGAGGTGAGTCACATGAGATGTCTAATACAAGGATACAAAAAAAAAAAAAAAAAAGGAAACTGTGGCCTGTAAGCCAGTAATGTACCAAGCCAGACCTTTTTCTGATGTACTGCCACTAACTTAGTCCCTTCAAACAGACATATTTCTGTAATTGCTCTCTTCTTTACAGCTCCCTGCCATCAGTAACAGCTTCGTATTTTTCCATTTAATGAACTTCAATTCTTTTAACTCAAATCTTACCTAAAGAGAGAAGATCTCCCTTAAAAATACATCTCCTCTGCTGATGTTTGATATGCTAATTGTATTTATTCTGTCATGTGTATCAAGACCATTGCTGTGAAAGCAGTTACACAAAATATGCTTCTGACGGGGTCTTTAACTTGCTGCATAGAAACACAACTCTATTAAAATACCAGTGTTCCCCATTTTAAGTCATGTTTTTTATCTCTGTGCTAAAGAGTTAGGGGAAGAAAAGTACAAGCACTTCAGTAACTGACATCAGTCTTGGGATTCTCCGTATTGTCTATGAAAGTTTCTCGTGTAACCAGAAGGAAGAATGACCATGGCAGTGGTCAAGAAAGACCAAGGATAAGAATATCAGTGAAGGTCACAGAGGAAAACAGACTGTTTCAGAATGAGCAAAGCACTACCTCCATCTTGGTCTGGATCCAGGGTCCAATGACATTTGCCTGTGCACCAAACTGTTTACGAAGTCGTTCATTTTGCTGCTGGCGAGCATGTTCTTCCATCAGGGCCTGATCCCTTCTGGGAACCAGTTGCCGCACCTACAGCAAAGAGTAACAAAGTGTGCAGTTGACACATATAAAGGCACACATACAGTAGATGTAGAAATTGCTGCAAGGAAAGGAGGAGCGGGTGTTTGCACTGAAAACAAGGAGTCATATGGTTTAGGACATGGTGGGAAGGCTCATGGTATGTGAACCCTATCTGCTGTACAATGCACGCTGCAAACTCATCTCAGGCCATGGAAGACCAGAAGAAGCTTCCACTCATTACTTGGGTTTTTTGGTGGCTCATGTTAACTGGATCGCAGGACCCTGTACAGATCTCACTGGTGATCTCTTTGGTACTAAGAACCATCAGCACAGCTGGTATGGAGAGTTGCTGCTCTTTTAGGATTACAGCAAGGGAAGGCTACTTGGCTGCAGAGATAAAACATCTGAAGGGTTGAATGGTAAAAAAGGACACTGATTCACATGCCATACTTACTTGCTTGCCAGGTCAATGGAGGACTAAAAACCTCAAAGCTTTTAATTTAGCATCTTTCACTCTAAAAATAGCAAGTAAAGGGGATCTGACACCCCTTAGATATTTATATGAAAGATCTCTTCCACTTTCAATTGCACGTTGCAATTAAGCCAAAAAAAAAGACCAAAAAAAAAAAAGAAAGCTCAGCAGTAAGCATGAGAGGGTAAACGAAGAGTAAATAATCCACTTCCCAGGGCCCCAGTGATAGAGCAGAGACATCCTCCTACACTAACTTGCAAGGTTGGAAAGAACTCACGTGTTCCCATTTGCCATTGATCTCGTGTGGGGTGATCGTAGTGTAAGGATTCGTTCCTGCCATGTTGACATGGTATGTCTGGACAATCTTTGAGACTTCATTGTGGATTCCCAGGATAGCCTGTCGCTCCTTGTCGGCATCTGGCAAAGTGGCTTTGAACTGTTCATGGGCTGTGGTCAATCCCTGCAGAAGGAAGGCAGCAGCAAAGGGAGGGCGAGAGCATTAGTTACTGAATAGCCTCTTCAGCAAATGTGTCCCTGCAGAAGCAACTGCAAAAGCTCACAGATTCCCAGGATACAAAGCAGGCTTCTCTAATACATTTTTCAGGTTCTCTCAGCATGACTAAACAGGCTGTTTTAAGCAACTAAATGATGCGAAGTCTTGTTTTCCCTCTGTTTCTGTCCCAGGTTGACCAGAGACAGAGATCACATCACAAAAAATGGCGGAATAATTCTGGCTCATAATTTAGGGGGAACTATTTCTCCAACACTGCTGAGTGACTGCCTGTCAGCCCCTTTGGGAAGGAGATCTATCTACTAGCATCACTTTAAAGCAGTCATGTCTCACTAGTGTAAATGCACCATGTTTTTCTTCTTCCACTAGGTATGTACTAGTTATAGACCTACGACAACTGCAGATGAATACTGTGAGCCAGCTTCAGTCTGATCAGACTCAGTTAGAGCTAGGTGAAGGTCTTCCAGCCAACAGCAAACTCGCACAGGCAACATATGCTCCTGTTGCTGAAAACCAGCTGCTTCTCCCTGAACACAACAGCCCTTTCTGTTCCCCATCTTGCTGCAGTGCCCAGGTTGTCCTCCAAGGACCGATGGTGGGGGCACGCTTGCTGGCAGTTTGTGGACAGCTGACAAGCCAATTGGTCCTGGCTCATCTCCCACTGCTTCTACAGGCCTTTAAGGTACTTCATTCCAGAAGCCTGGAAGATCAAGACTAGGGAAGCAAACACAGGGAAAAAGGCAGCAAAACAAATGGGGGACAGAGAGGCATGTGCAGGGATAATCGAGGGAACAGTGTAGACAGAAGAGAGAATGAAAGTAAACCGCATGATTGACCACTCTCTTACAACACACACATTGTAACTACTTTTTGTAAAATTGCTTCCTTACAGGGTGACTCATTACTTCGCAGCTGCTGCAGTGACCATAGAGATGTAATGCAAGTCTGGGGGGCTGGGAAAGATACTGCAAACAGTCACAAAGAAATGATGGAAGTGTTTAAATGCTGTTCAGATTTGTTCTGCATTATGAAAGACTTAATAAACCTCTTTGTTCAAGAGGGAAGGGCAGAAGAGACAGGTAGCAGCTCAGTAACAGAGCTGATACCAGGCTACCTCACTACCCCTCCACCGCCTGGCTGCCTAGTGTCCCCTGTTAGTCTCCCATTTGCTGCCTCACTGATGGCCATGTTGCTGTCAGCCATTCCTGCAAAGAGCTGTCTTGGATTCTTTTCATGCCCATCAAGCAGGAGACAGAAGTCACCACTGCAACCCAGGGAAGAATAATTCCTGCTCTCAAAGGCCTGAAAATTACCTGTAGATACATCAAGTTGCTTTCGTAACACCCTTTCAGAAGGGGGGAAACTAAGATAATGCCTCTCTTTGTCTTGCAGGAGGCAAGAAAACTTTTGCTTCAAATGGCACTCCACCAAAGTGGACAATTCTGATATTTCTTCTGCTCAGCAACGAAACCCAGCTGGCAGCTCGACAACTGCCCCCACGGCACATCCTATCACATAGGACCAAATGATCTGGACTTGACGTTACATGGGACAACTGACCTGCAGAACCTGTGAGCAGCACTAAGCTTTGCTCACGTGGGTTAAAAAAACCCCACAAGACCCTAAAAGATTCTCTTTTCAGGCTTTCATTAATAAGACTGTGGCGTTACACTGAAAAATCCACTTGTGTCCAACTAAGATGGTGTGAGCATGTTTCATACCTATTCAGATCCATTTTTTTTTGAGGAAATAAAAGAAAAACATACTCCTTTTTGTTTCTCTTGCTAAAGAGCACTCACTAGAGTGGAAGCACCAAAACATGACCTACAAATTCGGCACCACTACAAATCCAGGAGACCCCTGACTTCTCTCTATCCCAGCCTGACTGGTGCAAATGACTGCTCTGTACCTGGATCTCCTCAATGGTGTGAACAATGAACGTGTCCTGCAGGTCCTCCATGGCCCCTTCCATCCAGTTATTGAAAGGGGCAGCTCGTTTGGCATATTCCAAGTACAACTGGTCAATTGTTTCCAGTAGCTTCTCTGTCCTCTGGGCACACACAAAAAAGAAAGTAAGGAAAGATAGTTAGATTATACACAGGATGGATTTTTTCCCCTGAGGGAAAAATCTGAGGTCCTTTCAAATAAAACAAAACAGTCTTTTCAAGAACAACGAAATTACAAAACACAGAAAAGTAGAAATAAATCAATAACCTGAACAAATGAACGGCACCATAATTGAGCTGTAAGGGGAAAAGCAGGCTAAATATAATGAAATGTAGCCCTTGTTTACAGTCCTGGATGTTCTAGGAGCACACAAAATTGCTGAAATTGGTTGCTCATGCCCACTGCAGCTTGCTTCCCACAAATGACCTACCCACCCAAAGGCGCAACTTGTAACGTCTCACCTCCAAGGCTTCTCTACGTTTCTGGGTTAGGGCACCCAGATTATCCCACTGATCGCAGATCTTCTGGCACCTGGCATTGACACTGGGAGAGTCGTAATAGTCCAACTCACTATAAGGGGTAGGGAAAAAAAGGACAAGTAGTCAAATAATGACCTTCTGGAGAAGGAGAAACCCATTAGAAATCTTTATCAGCCTTGAGGACAGATTCAGACAAAGAGCTCATCGTCTCTGCAAGTAAAGCGAGCCAGGAAGACAGCAGTATCTGATTTTGGAGATGCTGTATGTTATGGTACATCAACATCACAGAACAGGAAAAAAAACCAACCACCACCCAAGGCCTCAACAAACACTGGTGCTGGCTGCCTGATGGGAATAACTTGGCAACGGGGGAAGGGAGTACAGACTTTTACTCAAATTGGGAATAAGCAGATTATGAGCAGAGCAATATGCCGCTGTATGCTGTTTAAGAGCATCATGCAGGCTAACTACGCACATCTTGTACATCAGAATGGGCAGCAAACACTTTATTATGAATGCAGAGAAACTGCTTAAGATTGATCTAAAAGTTGCATAGTGTGGATGGCAAGGAATAGCTAATTTACACAATCCACTAATTTATTTAGGACAATTCCAGAATTACAGTGTAGGTTTCTGTCTTCTTTTTCTGACAGGGAGTGCTTTGCTGAGATGTCTATAGGCTGGCACTCATGGAAGATGGGCTGGTAAGGGTACGGCTGGGGAAAGGAGAGCACGAGGGTAAGCTGAAGCTTGCTGTCTTGTATTGCTTTGTGCTCTTGGTTCTGCACATGGTGAAAGAGGGAGAAACCTGCAGACAGAGGGAGATCAGCCATGCTGGGAAGGGTCAGCCTCCCAAGAGAAAGCACTACAACTCACTGGGCTACTGAGTGACCCTGGGCCAACTGATGAGCATTTCGCTAACGCAGATTAAACTGTTCTCTCTTGCTTCCCCTAGCCTTTTTTCTTCCCACCATTGTATTGCCCCCCTGAGGTGTGTGGGCACAACCGTTGGTAGAGTCTTGCAGTAAACTAGTCAGGAAACTGATTTGGGCTAAAAATAACTTCTTTGCTAGGTTTTTAATCCAGATCAGTTACTTGATCTACTTTGCTGCAGAGCCAGCATGGCAGATGAAAGAACTGCTTCTGAAAGCCTGGCTTGTAATGCACCTGTGCTGGACCACTACTGCTGGGGAGGGGAATATGCTGTGCCCCCAAACACGCCTGGCACGAGCAGCTGCAGTGGCTTCCTCCACACCCTCTCCATCTCCCTGGCAGTGTATCTCTGGGGAAGAAAAGACCTCAGCCATGGTTTTTCAGGGCATGGCCTCTTTGCTGAAATGGAAGATGGCTTTTGGAAGGATGGCAGAACCCACTGTTCTCACACTTTGGAAGAAATCACCTCTCCCCTAGCTTAGGGCCCAGCCTTCCCTGTTGCTCTCAGAGCTGCAGCTGCTTTGGCTGGCACATAGCATGTGCTTTGGAAGCCGCAGTTCAGCAAATGCTGGCTGATTAGCCAGCCTCAGTTTTAATCTTACTGACACAGAGGATTGCCTTGAACCCTCCTCCTGTTCCAAGGTCAATCCTCCAGCAGACAAGGGAGCAATTCTGTAAATCTGTGTTGTTAAAGGAGATAATGATCTTGATCCAATAATCCTGATTTTTTGGAGAAAAACAGTCCTTCAGCCCAAGAGTACTGATCTTGGCCCAGACACTAACTTGAGATAGGCCAGTGTAATATAAAAATATTTTTAAAATAGGAAACAAAGTCAAAGCCAAGTTGTTCAGACTGTTTTTGCCAAGAAACATGCAGGGTTACAAAATCTCTCTCCCTGTGCTGCAGAGGCCAGCTCTTAACCTCCCTGCTACTCCTAGAAATCAACCTCCCGCCCTGAGGAGACCCCATTTCTCCTGGTAACCTGCGTCACTCGTCACTCCAGGAAAAGGAGGTGAAAGTTTCCAAGCTGGGGGAAGCAGGGAGGGAGCTGAGCTGCTACGAGGATGCCCTTTAGCAAGTGCGAACCAGAGTACACATGGTGCAGTACTCTTGGGCCAAAGGACTTGGTGTGGCAGCAGAGGCCACCATGGGCTTAAGCATCAGCAGATTATTTTTTTCCTGCCAGAATAAGGGCGATTTTTTCGATAAAAGAGAACAAACTCAGAGCCTGCTATCCTCTGCTGTTTCCTTCTGTTCCTGGAAAAGTACGACAGTGTTACAACTCTGAAACCTAGCAGGCGCCAGCAGCAGGTCAGACTCTTTAGGAAAGGGTTCACAGCAGCATAACAAGCTGGAAGAGGATGGAAACTTGGCTTGGGAATATAACTCTGCCGCCCCCTCATCAGCACCCACGACTCATCCATTTTCTGGCCTGCTCTTCTGGTGTGTCCGGATACTGGAGAGCAGTATCCTAGATACTGTTTGGAAACACTGGGACTTCCCAACATTTTTGTATGGGGATTGATTTATGGCTCTCCAGAGGGCGGAGGGCAAAGCTGATTAAGCCTCTCTGGCCCCAAGGATGGGACGTGCGCTGGGGTGCCGTACTTCAGCTCTTGTGCAATAGCAGCAATCTGTTCCACGCGGTCCTGGTGTGCAGCCAGGTCGCTCTCAAAGGCCTCATGTTTCTTCAGCAGGGCCTTTATCTCCGAGAGGGTAGCAGTTTCGTAATCCTTCTGCTGCAGCATTGCTTCCTTACCTGGGGAGGGAGCCAAAGGACAGGAGAATGAAGGACAGGACCCAATGCCCCAAAGCCAGCTCCCCTCCACAGAGGCGCCTCAGAAGGGCATCTGCCCCACTCCAGACACCCTGCCCGAGGCTTGCCCTCATGCATGCTGGCCTAGAGATGCACAATCCTCACTTTCAAACCACGGAGTGTGACTTTGCTATTAACAATAGAGAAGGGCACATAGTGCAGCTCAAGCCAGTGCTGTCACAGTTTATACTGGACGCATCTCAGTATGTGCAAACTGGTCTATGCTGGTCCTGTAAATGCCAACTGTAGCATTCACTGTACAGTAACTTTTCCTCTGCTCTGTAGCACTTTTCTATTCAAAATTCTCACTTTGCAGCAG